ATATAGGACTTGTATAACTTAATGCAAACTTATGTTTTATTTTTAGTTTTCCATTAAGCATTCATTCATTCACATTATATAATTTCTGTGGGTTGCAGTTTTACAGATGTCAGTGTAGTGGTAATCACTAATTTTTAAATATATATTTTAAAAGTGACAATATTTTATTTTTAACTCTCAGTTCAGTTTTGGAAAAGAAAACAGGATTGAGAAACGAATGAATGTCACAAAGCTGCATCAATGTGTCATTCATATAAACAATGGCCTGCCTGTGTGTGAGTATTCTCACTTCTCCTCTAGTGTGTTGCCTCTTGGACCGTGGCCAATGAACTCATCCCAGCTCTTCCTGCAGGTCCGCACAATCCACTCGTGTTCTTGGTCGTCTACAAGGACAGATAATACATATTTCACTCATTTTGATAAGAAAAAACGCGTTCTATGTTTATAATAAAAGCATGAAGTCTGCACGCGCATAAGCACACTTGTAAATGAGATACGTGCTATTTTTTTTCCTTTCTGATTGTTTGGTCAAAAATCGAGCTCCAAAAGGCATGTGTCAAACTTATTCATATGCAGTTAAAGGCAATTTACATTTTTTACGTGCGGGATTAAGACAACAATTACGAAAATTCGCTCTCAGCAGCCTACTTCACGCGACAATCAATCACTCCCTTTTTTTCTTCCCCTTCCCAGAGATGATTCCGCAACCAAAAACAGTGGATAATATACTGCTTTTTTAAATGGTTAAAACTGAAAGGAGTTGCTAATTGCGGAGCGCGAGGTAGTTCTGCTGCTGGTGCTGAATGTGAGCGCACAGCTGCACGCACTTGAGCGCTCACCCCCATGAACATGGCGAACTGGGCCCATTGTTGAGAACAGGTCTTAAGCTCTCTTCTGATTGTCGGTAATTGCACGCGATGGCCCTAAACGGCCTCTCCACGCGCCTCCCGCCACTTCTACCTGGCTCCCGCGCGCGGCAATTGAGACTTTTTTTTTCCAGCACGCGACCGGTCCATTCTGCGACAGCTGCATGCTAACGTCTCACTTCATTCAGTCGCTCCCACCTCACGCTCTCCACATGGAGGTCACACTCGAGAGGAACATTTCATCACTATTTTAAACCAATTAATACATCCGTGGACGCTTCAACCAATGGCTGATGGACAGGGTCGGTCTACAATTACGTCTTGGTAAACGGGTTTTGGTAATTGGACCGAGTTCGCACGGTTATGTTTGCACGAAATTAGCACCTCAGTACTTATTGTTTGCACTTGCTAAATTCATAGGCTAATACAATCCTATTTCATAGCACACGTGTCACTCACATCAAATCTACTGCAAATAAATCATCCTCCGTATCAGTCGTCGAGGGCTGAATGGGTCTGTAAATTATACTTTTGACATGCGATTTACATGACAGTAGTGTTTCAGATTTAACGGCGTAACAGGTAAGTCCACCGTCGACGTCAATAAGCTAACAAAAGCAAGGTTCTTATATGTAATACATCTAACACAGCAGTGTGAATAGAGGCTTTCACCTTATTGGAAACAAGCACCACAACAAAATGTATAGGCCAAAATATTATTCCTGCTGGAAAATTAGTTCTTCGTTAACAGGCCACAAATCGCCTTCTTGATATCTTCAGGTCAATTCACAATTTCATAAACCGTACAAGTCCTTGGTCCCTTTGTTTAGACAGGGTTCCCAAGGTTATGGAAAAATACCAGGGAATGTTAAAATTATGTTTTTCAGTCAGAAGTTTTTATTCTATAAAATATTTTGAGTGCAATTTCAATAAAAGGATTTTTTAAATCCTTGTCCAGTAACCACAAATGACTGGAATAGTCTTTCATAAGTCATTCACAATTGCACATTCATTGTGGGAATGCTGTTTAAAGAACTGTCTTAGCCCTCATACTTCCTCAAACTTTGCTGAAATTCATCTCCTTGAATTTCCGTAACCCATATAACCATCTATTTGTTTTCATTACTAATGTTTAGTTTCTTTTTCTTGGCTGTTTTAAATTCTGATTTCCCCTTATCAATTTAATACTTTTTTTCTTGTCTTTTGTCTGCATCTTTTTTGTTTATGTGGTTGTACTTTTTATTCATGAGAAAGTACTCCATACAATCCCTTTTTTTTTTTTTTACTTTCCCAACATTTGCTTTTTTTTCTCTCACATTTATTGCAGTGCCTGTATTTTGTACAAAACATTATTTCTTTGTTTCTAGTAATAATCTGTTTTATGCTTCAGTCGACCCTCCTTTCTTCATACTCATGTTGAGCCCTCACTCAGGTGGCCTAACAAATATGATACACAGTCTTACACGATCAAAGCCCAGGAGTCAGAAGGGAAGCGGTAATTGTACCTTGTTAGGAGGTGTTTATCTTAATCCTTAAAATACAATCAAAAGGAAAAGTGTTTCCTTCCAGAGCTGCTCTTTTTTTTATTAGTGGCTTTAGGATCTCTGATCATCTGAGATTATTCAAAGGCTCGAGGAGCTGAGTGTATGTATCCTCAACAGCTGGATGATCATCTTCTGACAAGGTTTGATATTACCTTAAAGCAGTGACTTGTGGCTCAGGCCTGGGCTGTTTTCATTGGCGAAGGGATTTTAGAACATGAACCTTTAGCAATTATCAAAGAAGCAGGAAACCACTGCAAACCATATGGCAGTAGAGCTTCTGGCTCAAGTGAAGTTATATGACATGTTACCAAGGAATAGGTGCTAAAACAAAGACAAAAGTAATATTGTTTAAAAAGCATAATCCCCATCAAATCCCCAAATATTTAATAGGATAGAGCAAGATATTGATTAATGCTAAGCCAAGCAATATTGTTTCTATTTTTCTCTTTTACTAAATTCGTTATACTAACTATTCAGAACAGACAATACAACAGCTAAAACTTTCATAGACTGAATTAGGGATCTGAAT